AGAAGCATAATTTTCTAATTCACCCTATTCATCACGTAGAACTCAAATTTTAACAACAACAAAAAAAGATAGTCGTCTTGAGTTTACCTTCCAGGCGAGTGAAACAAAAGCCGAAAAAGGCGTCTGTTCTCGCAGGCTTGGTGGAAGATATCTTAATTTAGGATGAAGAGAGTTCCACAGTAGGTAGAAAGACCGAGGAGTTGCGGAAGACGACTTAAAACTGAGGAGGACGTGTGCGTAGGAGGTTTTGTTGGGAGGCTAATAATTTTGAGTTTTTAATTTACACCAGTATTTTCAATGGAAATTTGCCAAAGTTTAAACTTTACATAAATTAAAACCACACGGGCTCACTTGCTTAAAAAGTTTACGCGAAACACATTTGACACTCCACTTGCTTAGTGTGTAGCCGTCGAGTCGCGGCGGGTGTTTAAAAGGTCCAGCCAAAAAGAAGAATTTAAATCTCCTCGGAGATGACGATTGCTGCTGTTAACTATTCAGCCAGTACGTCGGCAAGTAGCAAACAGTGTCATTTGTTGCCGATGGTACACATCTTTAGCATGATAGCCGTTAATCTTTTGTCTACCGTTATTGGCACTGTTGGTAACGTGTTGGTGATCAGTACAGTTTCTAAGAATGTCAGTCTACAAACAATTTCAAATTTCTGGTTGGTGAGCATGGCCGTAGCTGATTTATTTGTGACCGCCCTTGGACATCCTCTTTTATCAGTCTTCCTAGGTCTTCAAATGAGAGGCGATTGCCATGAAACTGTGTCTCAAGCGTTTCGCTTAATCGCCAACTTGTCATGCTCCGCATCTATTCTTCATTTGTGCTTCATCAGCATGGACCGCTGCTTGGTTATCTTACGGCCTTACGATTTCAGAAAGATTCGAACAAAAAAGCGCTTCAAGATAGCGCTGGCGATCTCATGGACACTACCTGCCGTCTACGGCGGGTTACGCTTGACGGTCAGCAAGACAGCAACGTCTTATTTCACGGTTGTTGCCGTTGGTCTTTGCTACATCGCGATAATCATTTGCTACTTTCTAATCGTTCTCAAAGTTACAGAACACGGCTCAGCGATGCTCAAACGTTTCCCTAGTCAAACTGGGAAGAGAGGAGTTTCCAAATACCTTATAGAACGTCGTGTGACTGTGACTATAGCGATCGTAGTTGTTATTTTTACAATATGCTGGTTTCCCCTTCTGTATTTACGCTCCGCGTTTGCGGAAGAAAACTTTGGTATGCTTTATAACTGGGCAAGGACTCTGGCGCTAACTAATTCATGTATAAACCCGTGGATTTATTGTTTCAGAATAACTGCGTTTCGTGAATCTTACAAAAGACTGTTAAGGTGTCAGTTGAAATCCGTGTGCAGTAGAAAAGATGAGCGTCGCCAACGCGAAGCAAACACCGGCCAATTGCAATCAAGCGAATCGGAAACAGCTTATGAAGGTGCTGAGGCTGCCGTGTAACGATTAGCTTGAGTTGCACAACCTTTTCTGGCTAAGGAAAATAGAATTCCCTTAATTGTTTATGTTAGTTGTTATTGTTGTTTTAATTGTGCTCTCTTGTAAGCCGACTTAACCGGCAGGTATTTCGCGAAGTTGATAATCTTTTAATAAATCGGGGAATGCATGATGCTGTTGGTCGTTGGTTTCTTTAACAAAATCCGCCACAACCAGTTCCAAAAAATAATCCTTGAGACACTGTCAACTTTTTAAAAACCAAAGTGGTGTTACTCAGACTTCACACGATACCTGCCCCCTCCCCTGCATGTTAAACCAAAATTGTAAGGACACAGCATATTTATCACATCTGAAATTCACGGATTTCCAAGAAACCCAGGAAGTTTAAAAGCATTTATAGAGTGCTGTACAGTACCGCAAATGATCCCCCAAAATGGCCCGCAAATGATCCCCATTGTCGACCGCAGGTGGTCCGGTGAAAAGTAGAGGAATGGAACGCATTTTAGGCATGGATGGTTAATGTGCTATGAACTTGAACAACGCGTTAAGAACAATGAAATGAATAAAACTATAAATAACAGAACTGTTTCTTTAGGCAATTTTTTTGTCCTTTCTTTCCAGCATGTGATGTTTCGTTGCTGTGAAAATTTAGGACAGGGAGGACGTTAAGAAGGAAACTTGTCTTTCATTTTAACGCCGAGGAATAGAGAAATATGACCACTGTATCTGTCACTCGCAGCTGTAGAGGTTTCCTTTTTATTTCGAAATACACTTAGCAACTACAGCTCGTGAAAATGTCGTGTCTAGTGGTAAGGACCCTGTCGGCGCAAACCTGTTTATTCATTTCTCGTGCATACAGAGACAGTTACAAAGATTCACACTTCGGGAACGAGAAACGAAGGACTATTAAATGGAAAACTTTGTATCTTATAATAAGCAAAGAATTCTCCTAATGTAGTTGTACTAGAGCGAACTTTTATTTGAGGTCGTTTTCACAGACTTTCGCCGTTACAAAGCCAGTATCATTTTCTCAAGTTAATATGAGGTATCCGATAGATAGGATTTGTGTAAATTCTTTTTGAGAATATTGTATCTAAGTATGTGAAGTTTTAGTTCATTTTAGCTTTAATGCTAACCAGCAATTAAGCAAGACACTGCATTGCTGTTCAAGAACTATTGTTTTATTGACACTATTTTTCTTGCTTGCTTTTATTTCTGTTTTATTTATTAAACTTAGTTATAAATGTAGTTTTACGGTTTCTTTTTTTCAGTCTTGGCATTAATTCACTGTCAACTTTTTAAAAACCAAAGTGGTGTTACTCAGACTTCACACGATACCTGCCCCCTCCCCTGCATGTTAAACCAAAATTGTAAGGACACAGCATATTTATCACATCTGAAATTCAGGGATTTCCAAGAAACCCAGGAAGTTTAAAAGCATTTATAGAGTGCTGTACAGTACCGCAAATGATCCCCCAAAATGGTCAATTACTGAGTGCGACGGAAAGGGACTATTAATATTTCTCACACTGATTATATACTACAATGCAGTGCGGTATCGAACTTTTACAAGAGCAACCTTGGTAGGAAGCATTCTCAGCCCAAAGTCAGGGTGTTAATCAGACTCACATTCGACTCTTGCCCCCTTCCCTGTTAAATTGAAGTTGTGGGAACTTTATAAATCTATAATTCGTGTTAAAAACTTGCAGGGACATCGTTGAAGAGGCCGGGAGAGTTGGGCAACCATCTTGCACTCGTCAGAATTACCTCTCCGTGAAGAAAACCATATATATATTTTTTCTTTTCCTTTTTTTTTTGAAAGCGTTTCACAGTTAAGTGCTTTGAAATTGGTAGCTGGAACATTATTCATTGTCTGCTTCTTCGCTTAATCATGGCCCTTTTAAACAGTCTGAAGATTCGTGGCAGTGTCCGCGTAATCGCCCGCGTAGTTCTGTGGAAAAACTACAACCAAACTTAACTTTTTAAAAATTTTATTTTTATGTGTGTTATATCATTTTTAGGATATCTTGAAATTTTTAAGGCTTAGAATCTGGCCATGGGATTTTTTGGGTTGTTGTTTTTGGTTCATGGATTTTTTGGGGGTTTTGATTTTGCCTCTATTCAATCGTCCCGCCCCTATCAAAATCCGGAGTACCCCTGCTAGGTACCCGTACTAGCCGAGGGCGATTATTGGAGGGACGGCTATTATTCGAGAAAATACGGTATTAAACAGTGTAATCGTCTTTGCTATGAGAGCTTCCCTGTAATATAATTAAGTCTGGAAGTCTAAACATGCGGTACAATTTCGGTAGCGACTGAGCTTACACGGCTTGCGGTATGCATGGTCACCATATTTCTCACTTCATTCATATCTTAACTTACTCGTGTCAGTGTTTCCAAGAAACCGAGAAGTCTTGTTAAAGTGCGGAATGGAAAAACGCTACTGTTTGGTTTAATCGAAATAATATTTTACTGTGACTAGAAAATTTATGGGGTAAAAAACATTAGAAAAAAATTGAAAACAAGGCCTCGTTAATGAAATAAAATAAGTTCTCAAGAAAGTGCCGTAAAGAAAAACAACACAAGCAATATTTTATGAAGGTCAGAATGGGGTTTAATGTTTGGTGTTATTTGCCCATAATTTTTAGTGCTTGCTGTTAAGTGTTTGGAGGGTTCTTCGGACATCTTCAGCAATGGTCGGACCTCTTCGTTAATCTTCGGAAATCTACTATACTCTTGTACGGAATTGCCGTAGAATGACCAAACACTCCTTGATATACTAAACAAAATAATACTGACCTTTTTGGAGCCGTTTTTGCTTCTTTCTAGAAAAAATTTACCATTTCAATGAAATTTTTTCTGTTAGTGTTAAAATGCCTAAAATTTGACTGTTTCATGTTATAAAGCCAAAAAATGAAGTGTTTAGTATTTTGAGGTACCCCCATTCAGACCCTCTTTTATACTGGAGATCAGAGCTACTGAGAAAAACAAAAAATCGAAGAAAGGTAATGGAGGTGCTCTAATGCCTTATTGATTCTTACTCTGTGGTCTTTCTTACATTTTCGGCCTTTTACAACTGAAGGAATCTTGGCACTGATATATGTTACGTTGTTTATTTTCAAGCTATGAATCGAAACCGTCCGCCTCTTTGGCTTTGAATTCAGTCATGAAATCCGACGTATTTACAGTCCAGAACATTTCTGAAAAGAAATAACATTAAATAAAGAGGCTTAACCTCCGGTTGGATCCATTAGAATCATGATCAGTGACAAACAAACTGCTGTAAAATTTAATTTTAATTTAATTAAACGAACCTCGTTTGAGGGCTGCAGCAATTAGTTTCTGAGCTTAATTACATGACTGTAATCACTGAATGCAGGACAATGTCACTTCGTCAGTACTCTTCGTATTAATTTGTCAGACATTTGCTTGTCGGGCCCTGATTGAACCTTTTAGCTCAAAAAATGTAGTAAATAAATACTGCCGAGGGTGAACAAAGGGTTTTTTATGCTTTAAACTTTTATAAATTTTTTTTTTCATTATTAGTTGGGAAAAACCAAGGAAAACCTCTGGTGGGGCGATGTAATCAGACACGTTAATAATTTTAAAAAAATAATAATAACAACGTTTCGTTGCATGTTTTGAAATACAAGGTAGGCGAAAGAGAGGTAGAGTAAAGTGGAAGATGATGCCTTGAAATGACTTTGGTAAAGCTGGCAGCATTTTATGGCGGGGTCAAATTCCTCTAGTGACATGACAGTCTAGTTCGGCCAGTTTTCTCATTTACGCAATAGAAAACGATTTCCGTGTTTGCATAGCCCGATATAAACACGAGAGGGGTTGGGAGAATTCGAGACAGTTATGCAAACCCGAGACGAAAAAGTCGAGGGTTTGCATAACTGTCAAGAATTCTACCAACGCCTCGAGTGTTTATATAAGCCTATGCAAACACAGGTAAAAAGTTTTCTATTGCTTTTATAAAATAGATTTCCCGAGAAAAAACGCAAAACTCTTTGTATGGCACTGATTAAAAGAGAAATTCTTACCAGTCGCAAAACCTTGTCCACGAAAGTCTTGCATGCGTAATCAGTTCTTGTTTTGCAAAAAGATGCTTTCTAAAATACGGACTTTTCTCGCTTAAAATGTCAGCTTAAGCGAAAAAAAAAATGGACACACTTTCTTTGTAGCGATTTTCCAAGTTTCAGCCGACGAGGGAATGGGTAAAGAAAGTAAACTTGTGGAGTTTTGAACTTGAAAACTTTTTCAAATTCGTGCTTGCGTGATTAGCGCGAAAAGCAAAACATCTTCTGGGCACAACCATGTTTACATACTCTCATGCAAGCACTCCTCTCAGCCAATCAGAGCGCGCGTACTATCTTAGTTGTTTTATAATAAGAAATAACATAATCAAAAGAGAAAAACATTATTTTCCATTTGCCTTCGGTTGAGTCATCGGTACGAGTTCAAGTATGCTGCCACCTGCCCGCGCGTAAACAAATCATGTTCTATGTTTTTCAAAAACTTGCCTTTGAGTTTTTCTTTCGCGGAATCAACCGCTCTCCGTCTTCAGGTAAACTGCAAAACGTTTTTCGTTGTTATTCTGAATGGCATCTGTCTACTTGCTCTTAATATTAGGGTAAAAACTTTGAGGGAAAACTATAGCTGCAACTATAAGCACCAACTAAAAAGACTCTAAAAAAAAGCTAAAACTAAATAAATGAAATAATTATCAAGCTTATTTGTGACAATTTTTGAAATATACGTAAGGTAGAAATGAGAAAATTTGAAGGTAATTCCTTTAGAATAACAGGTAACACTAATTTAAAAAAAGAAATTAACTAGCTTTGTATCGAAATCTGTCTGGGGAAATCCAGCTATGAAAGTCAAAGTTAAAACTGAAATTCGCCGACACACAGCCGGCGCTGAAGCTGTTGTTTTTCGACCGTTCTCTGAACGACTGTTATGAATGAACACTGAGGAACAAAATAATACACACAGAAGTCATTGTTTGAAAAAATTATTTGAAAACCCAAAGGTTTCTGTACTCAAATGAAATTCGCTTATTCTAGCGTAATGTGCCCGTTTAAACTCAAGTAAAATTTTTAATCGATGCGATGAAAACTTCACAAAAAAGCTGTCTCGAATTTGAGCGTGTTTCCTGAAATATTTGCTTGAATTAAGCATCAGCTTGACCAAAAAGTCAATAACACAATACTAATTGATGAGTTTACATTTCAAACAGACTTTCTCTTCTATAAAAAAAAACATACAAAATGTACCTTCAATCTTCGCTCGCTCGATTTTCCTTTGAACAGCGGATTCTAGCCCCAAGGAAAACAGTGATTAATTCATCCAGGGCAAATTTGTCGCTTGATCTTTTGTCTTTTTTCCTTCAAAACGACAGCTTAGTATTTTCTTCAACTTCCACTTTTCATCTGTGCATTTTATCGGTGTATTTTACCGTCAGGAGAGAAGATTTGTTGAATTTGCCTAAATTTTACCGCGCTTGCTCAGTCCTTTGGCGTGCACCCAGGGGCATGTCAAATGGTAGTGGCTAACTGACCAATCAGAGCGCGCGATTTACTTTTGTTATGTTATAACAGCATTTTGATCATAGCTAAAATTCACGGCTTTCCAAGAAACCGAGGAATTTTTAAAGCGTAGAAGTAAAAAAAGAACTGAGGTCGAATGGGTGTAAACGTCTTTATTCCAACTGATTTTCACCATGTTTTCCTTTGTCGCAAGCCTCGCGTTTGTGATCGTTCTGAGCTAACAAATGCGCCATTATATGGTTCAAGCGACGTTTCATTCTGACTGCAACCTTGTGGGGTTAAAAACATTGGAGAAAAATGGAAACAAGTCTTCGATGATGAAGTTAAGTTCTCAGAGTCCTTCTTCAAGAATCCCGACCCATTCCTGCACCGTAAAGACAAACAAAACAAACAGCATTTTATATTTGAGGGCTAAGAGAAACAGAGAATCGAAGAAAGGTGAGTCAAGGGAGATTTTTTGATGCCTTGCGGATTCTTACTTGAATGCCTATTTGTCGTAAATATTCTTGATTATTTTCAAAACTCTTACAAGGGTTGCATGATCTCAAGCTTAACTGAATCATTTGATTCTAAATTAAGCGGAAGGTATCATCGCTATCGTTATAATAGCCCAAAACATTCAAATAGCGAGAAATCTCCTTCGATCTAAGACTCCGTCAAACACAGTGAAAAACACCTGGGGAAACTGTATCTAACTTCTCCTAATCAAGGATGATCATTGCAGAGCCAGAGTTGGAGGGCTAAACCAGAAGCACAAGTGTAGGAAGGGTATCTAGAGGCATGCTTCTCCTGGAAAGTTTGGGATTTAAATGTTCTAAATTGGCTAGAAATACTTTTTAAAATCTCAGTTCCTCTATGTACTTACGCATAAGTTTTCCCTTTTCTAGTTAGGTTGTGTAAACAACTATTCATTCATAACTGAAATTCTCCGCTTTTCCGAGAAATCGAGGAAGTTTTAGAGTGCAGAAGGCAAATATACAATGTCGCGAGCCTCTTAAAAGGGGCTATGTCAGCTGGAGAGCATGCGCTCTGAGGTTATGCAAATTACTTTCAACTGTCAAAATTCTATTGTTTTTAACGCGTGACTTTCTCCATGTTCTCTGTCACGTCCAAGGTTCCGAATTTAGAGAGGTTAACAAGCGAAATGGGTTTAGATAAGGGATATTTCGATAGAATTTACGGAACGTTTCTTCTCTGGTTATGCTAGATCAAGAACAAAATTTTGACGACAATTTTACTTGTAGTTTTGAAGTAAAAGCGCATGCCATTCATAAAATAGAGCGCAAACAAAGATTCAACAACAACATATTGTCTTATTCAACAAAATAAATCGAAGTTGTATTTTACAAACGAGCTACAAAAGACACCAGACCGAAGATAAAGACCAAGACTGTTTCAAATCATTAACAATTAGACTTGTCTGTCGCTAGTGATTTTATAATTTAGATTCTGATAGAACAAAGAGACTTCAAGTCTTTGTTTTGATCTTAGGGAAACATACGTTATCACGCAAAATTGTTCGATCGTGCCGAATCACTGCGACGTCGAGCAAAACAGAACCAAGCATCATTGGTATACTACTCCACTATAAGCAGTCCGTTGATAAAAAGGGAAAGTAAACTCTGCTATTTTCCAAAAATATGCTCGAACACAAACAGTTCAAAGGGCGTCGATAAAACCCGGAACATGGAACATTCCGGAATGTTCCATGTTCCGGGTTTTATCGACGCCCCAGTTCAAAAACATGGCATTTACAGGATCTAACTCGTACTAAGGTGCCTCTCTAAGTCCGTTGAGAACAATCTGGACGAGCAAACGGTCGTGTTTATCTTTGCCGTGAATCCAGATAAATACAAGAAGGAATCTAGCCGAATTTTATAATTTTTCCTTCGCCAGGAGTTTAGTTTCGTCACGATACTCATGGCCTGATGCTCTTGTAATCGTTTACAAAAAACGGCCGCCGCCAACTCGATAGCCGCTTCATTATATGTCCACATACTTTGAGACAAGAAAAATCCAAGAGCCAGCGGCCTCTAAAATAACTCAATAGAAAGGTTCTGTGAACTATAGGGAAGATGCCATCAAAGATTCCATCACTCATTGTGGAGTAGCCGTCATTAACTCTGCCATTACAACGGCCGCTGATAAGAGGACACAGTAAATCCACGTAAAAACATTCCACAGGCAAACAATTTCAAAATAACGCCAAAAAATTATTCTGTAATCACCATAGAACGATTCTTAATACAAAACTTCGCTAACTATCGAACGATGGCTGAGATTTAGACAGATAAAAACAGCCTTTCAAAATCTCCGACACAACTTGAAAAAGTCGGGCCGACTTTTTCAAGTTTGTTTTCATTGGCTCGCGTATGCGTGTGGGGTGACATAGCCCCTTTAACTTTGCGCAGTTTGTTTAGGAGCAGGAAAAACGCTCTACCGTATGTGCAAGCGCCATTTTATTCTCACTGTAGCTTTGTTGGGCAAATGAACATTGGAAAAAAACTGGAAACAAGGCCGGCGTCGGTAAGCCTCGTTCGTCAATTAAGAAATCTAGCCCATTTGTGTATGGTTAAGACACAGACAACAAATTTAATTTAAAACAATGTTTTAAGAGAAAAGGAGAGTCAAAAAATAAAAGTAAACAAATCAACTGCCTTGCATTATGTAGGCACAGCCTGTCTTAGTATCTTTTTTTGTCTGCTCGGCTACTCTTTTTATCGCTGATTACGCGCGCGTCATCCCGACGCCTAGTATAGGCAAAATTTCTTGAAGTGCCGGACCTTTTGCTCTCCACGCATCGCGTGATCGCAATTGCTCATCAGTTGTCTTACACATTGTTTGTGAGGGCTTGTATCAGAATGTAAACTCGCGACGTTTACACCCTTTCTCAGACATTATAATTTCAAGCCATAGGCTTGTATTGAATGACTTTCTAACAGCCATTTGATGTAAACAAGTTTTCAGATTTAGTATCACCGAGGTGATTAGGGGATAATTATTCTGCTCGTTTGGGCGCGACGGAGAGGAATTATATTTCTCGCAATTATATACAATGCAGTGTGGTATCGAACTTTTACAAGAACAACCTTGGGAGGAAGTATTCCCCGGGGGGGGAGGGGGTACTTTGGTTGATTGCTGAGTGTGTCCCGCTGGCCTCTCAGAGCCCCTACCCCATTATAGTCTATTTTGTGACCAAATATAGACCCCATGTTAGTCACGGCTTTTCTGCAAGTATGTTATTTTTCGCGATCCCAACTTAGCAACTTTCTATTTTTGTGAATTGGCCTCCAGTATTTTTTAACTTTTTTTAACTTTTCACCTGCAGTACAAACATTCTGGTATGTTTGCTAAACGAAAATATGAAGAACTGCCTTACCCCAAAAAATCCGAAAATGTGCGACCCCCTTATAGTCAGTCCTGTTGTAAATGCGACCCGATCCAGCGGCACATCGACATTAGCCTCTTATAAGGAAGAATCCCCCTCCCCCCCACCCACCACCACCACCCCTGGGAAGCATTTCAGTATTTATATGATGGATTGCTGTTTCTCTTTGACAGGGTTTCTTCACTTATCAGTCTATGGCAAAGGCAACACCTTCCTTGAGGGTCATCTGGACATTTCACAGTCTTCACTTAGCGAGCAGTGGAGAAGTCTGTCGTTCTGTCCTTCTCATTCAGAAGATGAATCGATGGAAAAACACCTCACGCTTTCAGGAACACCCGGAGTGGGTTTCACGGTGGAAGCATCTCAAGACAATGGAATAGGCCTCGATGATCCTAAAGAGTTCGAAATAAATGAACGGAATACTGTAAATGTCTTTCAGTTTATCCCTCCTAAAGACATCTCAAAGACGCAGCTTGATATAACGGTTACTTCCGACTCGGATGTGCCCTCTTACTTGAAAGTTTCACGAAACTGTCAGGACGTTAAGGACAACATAAGACTTGTGGATTATAGAGGCGAGTCTATCCGTCTTACTTTTGCGAAGAAAGGACGTATCACTTTATCCAAGGCATCTATTCCTTCTCTGGCCGACTCAACAAGCTGGTACATTGGTATTGCCTTAAATAACGCTGCAGGTTCCATGCCATTAAATGCAAGTAAAACTGGAACCTTGACTTTGACAAAATCATTTAATTACTCGTACGCGGCACCTGTGATATTCATATTTTTGTTCCCCTTTTGCTTGGGTTCAGTTCTCGCTTGGTGGGCGTTGAAGTGCTTCAAAGAGCCCCACGTTACTCCACTGAATGTTGATACCACTGAACCAGACCGTAAGGACGTCTGGAAAGCCATGAAGGAAGTTTTCCGTAACCACTGGTTTGCAGGAGAGCCCAAAACGTACTCGTACATAACTTGCATTGTCGGATGCGTCTTGATGGTGGGAGCGTTTCAGTTTGTGTTTGCTAATTGGTGGTTAATGATTGAAGAAGGCGATAGAGACAACTGTTATTATAACGACTTTTGCTACAGGGTATGGCTTTGGGATCTTCCATTTAATTTAATGAGTAGCAATGTTGCCTATATAATGAATGCCTTTGTTTTAGCAGTGTCTGTTTTGTATATGGAAGCAGAATTACTGGTTCGCTGTAAAAGCATAGCTCATATCCACCAAGCAGAGTCAACAGATAAGAATTTACCAGACCACGTGTTGATATGTCCTAACATTGCCCCTCACCTTGCTTCCATGAAGGTCCCAGAGCATCACGTTGAAGAATGTCATCACGCAGAGGCATTCAAGAGCGGATTTTCTTTTACCATAGGGTACGCTTTTGCCTGGGCGTTGCTTTTCGAGGGATCTTTCTCAATGCTCTATCATCTCTGCCCAAGTAAGATGACATTTCAGTTCGATACGGCATTTATGTTCGTTATCTCAGGTTTAATTGTCGTTGTAATGTATAATGGCATTAAGATAAAAAACTGCCTGGCAGATGGAAAGGCGAGAGGTCACGTGGGAGCAACAAACTTCTTCCTTGCTTTTGTAGTTCCACTCTATTTTTTAAACTATCTCGGTTCACTAGCTCACTCCAGGGAAGGGTTAATCCCAACGTGGGTTTGGGGTATACTCCTTTTTTTATGGTGTCTCATTATTTTCATTTGGGTTAGCTATAAATTGTACTTTAACGATTGTTACCCTCGGAATTGGTCTAGACAGTGTATCGAAGAATCCAAATGTAAATTTGCTTTCCTTCTCCTTAGTCTGATCTCAGGTGCCGTTGCGTTACCAGTGGCTGCGAATTTTTTGGGCCTTCCACTAGCGCTTCTGATCACTTGCATTTTAGAGAGCACACTCGCTATTTCTGCAAAAGCGTTCTTGAAATTAACTCCAATTGAGGAAGTCATGGAACGCTTGAAATCGTCTGTTTGTGCTGTGATTTACGCATTGATAGCCTCGTGTGTTGCAATTGCCGCCTTCGTATTTTTCTTGGCGTTTCCGACAACAGATAAAGCAGATTCTCCCGAGCAATCTCGTAATAGGAACCAAGAATGTCTTTGGGGGTTTGATTTCTTCGACTACCACGATCTTTGGCATATCTTGTCTTCATTTGCCCTGCACATGGGAACACATATCGTGATGTATGTTAGCAATTTTGCCGCTCCAACAGCCTAAGTAGCGAGGGTTAACCTGGCAGGTCGGAAGATAGGCAACAGCCATAAAGAGGTATTTCAAACTCTGCTAGAGAAACCGAGGACGAAATAGGATCGAAACAAACGAAATCAGATGGAGAGTTAAGCGTGCCAGGCCAAAAATCAGCGAGAGGATAGATTAAAAAAAAAATCGCTTTCCTCTGGCATTCGGTTATAATCATAAAAAAGTCATGACAGAGTAAAAGACCTTACTAGTTTGTTACCTCAGGGTGTAATTTTTATCCGGAAACCGGTTCATGCACCGAACGTTTTCATTCTGAGGGATTGTAACAATACCCGATTGGTTTTGCTCGGTTTCTCTAAAGGTTCTGGAAAAAAATTGCAAAGACCCCCTTTTTTTCTGTTGCAGCCACTTGGGTTCAGCTGTGGGCTACCAAAAAAAACAAAGTTGGTTGTTGACAACCAAAATAAGTTGCACTTTCATGCAAATCCACAGATAAAACTGGAAAAATGTTTTACTTTGAACCTGAGATGTAAACGAAACTTGACTGTTGTGTGATTTTAATATATAGTACGGCCGGACATTTAATAACATTTAATAGCATTTTAATACAAGTAGCCGTTTGAAACCAAAGTTTAATTGTAACCTTTCTGTATTTTTATCTGGCATGAATAGCTGAAGTGCAGGATTTCAGAGGTGTATTAACTTGTATTAGAATTTAAGCGGTTGTTGTAGCTTTTTTTGTAAATTATATACATAATGATTTCAAATATTGTGACATCAATAGTGATGAAAAAGACCGTATTTGAATTAGTTGCCTGTTACCCATAGAACATAGGGTTTATTAGGTTTCTAATGAGCTCCTCAAACATTTTTAGATTTGTATTTAGTATCATGAAATGATTATAATTCCGGTTATAAGTTTTGCATGGGTTTATACATTAAGAGGTTTTGCGGGTGGCCTTATATCCTGAGGACTTTTCAGCGGATTAAAAAAACGTTTCGTAACAAGCTGACAACAAAACATACTTCATTTCACTACAAGAAAATACCGGTACCTCAAAACTATATTATAAACTGTGAGCACAGAATAACAAGACGCGTATCTGATATATTAATAAATATGGACCCATAACTAGAGGTTTCAAATTCTGAGTATGCTGCGAACAGATGCTGGGCAGTTGTTAACAGGCCTTTGGTCGAGCGGGGTGGGGAGAGGGAAAAGCGAAAAGGCCTGTAGACAAACATTTGGGACCGCCATTCCACGGTACCCGCTGTGCATCAGATCCTGATGCAAGCTCCTATTGGCGAGAACACTGACTGTTGACTGGTCTGATTGACATCGGCCTTTCGTTCGGCACGTAGCACGCGATTTGATCACAGAGTGGCAATAACAAAACAGTCCAAAGACTATAAAACACGGGGAGGAACTACGCGCTCCGGTCAAAAGACTCAAACTGTCTTTAAAAAAACACTAAGCTGGAGTTTATAGTTACCGAAGCACAATGCAATTCTCCATAGCTGATGTAGCTTCGGTTTAAGCTGCACTTAAATCTTATAATTTTGGATCTGTAAATAACTATCCGTGATAATTTTTGAACAGTCTACAAAGAAAACGAAAGAGCTGGGCCCAGCGTCAGGATACAACATTGCAGAAAAACATTACATTCAGGGACTACAGAAAATTGCTTACTTATTATGATCGAGAAGCCACTTTGGAGAAAAGTAAGACCCTTATTCAGCCGCAATGAAAAGCTTTACGCTTCAAAAGAGGTCAAAGAAAATGCTCTTGCATCAGAGGGCAAACCCCGTCGACCAGAAACAAAAACCACAGTAAATCGATGTGTGCCATGACCTCTCAGTGTGAAACAAGCGGCTAAAATCACATTTGCTCTGTGAAAGTGCATAACCTTCCAGAGAAAAACCAACCCTGCAGAGGAAAAAACTCATGGGAACAAGCAGCATTTTGGCATAAAGTAAAAGTCGTGTCGGCCTACCACCCCCTTTTATTGCTATAAATACCTGAAGGTGTAATTCCTGTTGGCGATCGAAGCGTAGCCTGCGGTGCAGCCGGCCCACGTATCGCATATAGTGGGGATATAGTCCGTCTGCGAATTAGTGCACAAAAGCTCGTTCTGATATCCAGCAGAGTCGCAAGGACATATGTGAGCGTTTCTGATTGGCGGGTTTCTTACGCGCCTCATGATTGGTCCAATTCTCACGTGTGCGTGACGGTCCTTCACGTCGACAGAAAGCCAGATATGTCAAAATTTAAAGAAGAAAAGTGGCAAAAAGCGTTTAAAGCAGTCAAAGAACAGTTCGAACTTGAAAGCCTTCTCCCTGAGCAGGAAAATTCTTTGAAAGAATTCCTTGAAGGCCGGAATGTGTTTGTAAATTTGCCGACCGGTTACGGAAAATCCTTGATTTTCCAGTGTCTCCCAATCGCTGCAGATGCTCTGCTCGATAAACCTCGCGGCTCTAGTCTTGTAGTCGTGATTTCGCCTTTACGATCCTTATTGGAGGACCAAGTTCTCTTTCTGAACAATACTGAAGTGCCAGCAATCGCTATTACTGACGAAGAAGACCCAGATATTGTCCAACAAGTAATTAATGGCAACTACATTGTCGTGTACGGTTCGCCCGAGTGTCTTCTTTCCACCGCGACTTGGAGAAGTATTTTCAGTTGCAACACATTTGTAGAAATGTTGATCGGAGTGGCTATCGACGAAGAACACTGTATAACCCAATGGTATGTGTCTTATTCTCTTATTCCTTTTTTATTCAACGATATTCAAATTGGCAAATAACGATTTTCAAAACATGGTAAGACAAGTTTGTACGGTGTGATTCACCGAAATTTAACATCCATTCGAACAACTTGTTTACTATAACTTAGGTACGAGTCAAAATAAACTTCTTATGGTCGGTCGGGTCGGTTAAAGGCCTTAAAAAAGTGTGGAATTTTTTATGAATTGGCATGAAAATTTACATACAGTTTTGGACAGAGGATTGTCTGGTGTAGGATCCCCCCCCGGAGGCAGTAATAGTCAGTCGTGTTTTAATATTACCTTTCTTTCATTTAAGGGTTATTGTTCATCCTTGTTGTATTTTAAAGTTTTGTATACATGCATAATGCAATGAGTCACTGTTAAAGTCAATACTTGTAAAAATTAGAACATCATCCCTATATATACCAGTATCTAATCTACAATCTCTGTACAGGGGCCTGTCTGGATCCAAGAAGGTGCCTTTCAGGAAGTGGTATGGTTGCCTAGGGGAGCTAAGGTCACTGGCTCCTTCAACAAGCCGGTTAATAATTCTAACTGCAACTGCAACAAAGGCAACGAAGAGGGAGATTTTAACTTCACTGCAACTGGGAGAAGATGACGTAAAGTTTGTTGAACAAAGTCCAAACAGACCCAATCTAAAATACAGTGTGCTGTATTTGGACAAAAACGAGGCACTTCAAACTGCATTTTCTGCCCTCATCACAGATTTGAAAAGCCAAGGTGCAAAGACCCAAAGAACCATACTCTATTGCCAGACAAGAAAGCAATGCCAGATTTTATTTCGTGTTTTTGAGGTTTTCCTAGGTAAGAATATTTACCACGGGGAAACCAAACCTCAAAATCGGATTGTTGAAATGTATCATGCAGGCACACCAAGCCGTGTTAAGGACCACATTGTGGAGAACATGGCTAATGAGGATGGTCATTTAAGACTGTTAATTTCAACCATTGCATTTGGGATGGGCGTAAACTGCAAGAGAGTTAGGAGGATCATACATTTTGGGCCCTCAAAATCTGTAGAAATGTACTTTCAGGAATGTGGCAGGGCTGGCAGAGATGGGCTGCCAAGCACTTGCATTCTTCTATACAATGGTCTTCTATCAACTCATAGTGAGAAGGACGTGAAAGAATATCTCAGCAGCGGTGAGTGTCGTCGAAAATGGTTGATGAGCCATTTTGGTTTCAGTAATGAACTGCAAAGTGGTGATCATGCACATTCTTGTTGTGACATTTGCGCTACAGATTGTGAGTGTGGATCCGAGGAGTGCCCTGATTTGTGGAGTCCTCGCAGAGACTCGGACATGCATCCAGAGATATGTATTGCTTATTCAGACAGAGAAAGTGATTCTGTCACAAGGACACGTACAGTGTCTAGCAAGGACAAGAGGCTTTTAGAAAGGAAATTACTAGAACTGCATATGAATTTGTCAAAGCAAGTGCAAGTACAGACAATGGTCTCCTGCCCTAATATAATGTGTTACTTGAATTTAATTCATTTCATATCAAGCAAATTGTTCGCAATTGTCATGTTTTGTTTAGCCTCAGGGATGTGATGGATGTTGTGGAGATCTGGAGGAAACAACACGCAATTGCAGTAATGCATGTATTTGCTGAAGTTTTTGGTGACATTGACACAAGTAAACTTCCTGTTGATATCAGTGGTGCAGAACAATGCCGGGATGAGTCTATCAGGCCTGACTGGGCACAAGTGCGGGATGACTCTTCGCCGCTGTTCATGCTTGACACTCAGGATCTAGAAGGCATTAGTTTCCTGTCAAATGCCTCTAAAGACTTTGATGATTCAAGGAACTTAAGTAGTTTTGTGGAGAATGCCGATGACATGAGTGGTTCATCATAACTTTTGTAGACAATATTTGGGTTTATTGTTAATGTCACTTAGTATTTTGCTCGATTGAGACTTTTGAAATAGTTACCTTTTCAAATGTTTATTGAAATTCCATTTTTATCCTCCTTTGATTTTAGTTATGTTGATATAGTCTTGGAAACGAAGGACAAGAAAATTAAAAAGCATGATATGATAAAATGGACCCTTGGCATGACACCTGATAAAAAAACACCTTGCCGGTTGGCAAATGATGCAGTGTAACCTTGAGAAGATTTGGAAATTTGTTTTGAAAATATAATCTCTGTTTTTCTTGTCCTTTAGCCTGCGTAGCTGGCGGTATTGTGTGGGTGCGAGATTAAAGTTTTGGCGGCGGAGCCGTGTTCCAAAAAAAGGGAGTAGGGACGAGGCAGTTGAAATACCGCCTGCCAGAAAACCAGGGTATCTTGAATAGTCCGCACACCAGTGTGCGGGGAAACGGATTGGTCGAGGGCCATACATATGTCAATCATGTTAGATGAGCCTTCCCATATATTTCCCAATTTAGGGAGCAGATGTTAAACTGAAAAAGACGTACATGTAAAGTGACTGTGATTTCCTCTTTAAAAAGAGCATAATTGATGACCAAATTGCCGAAATGGCGTCTTTAAACTTCACAGCGCTGGAATTGTCTTTATTTAGCCGTAAGAAACAAAGTTCGAAAAAAATTAAAACACTATACAACTGTATCTGAGATCAAATCCTATCAGGAACACCTACAGAAGAATAAACCACCGGAAATGGTTACTCAGTATGCGTGTAACAAACCAGCTTCATGACCTTTTAATGTTAAGCCTGGCCTGGTGTTGCAAAAAAAGATTTACTCAGTCAAAGTTTAGAATGATACATGCACTGTGTAGTGCTAGTAACCTTCGCGCGAGAGCCGAGAAAATAAAAAAACCTCTGTTCAAGCAAACTGACAAGGTCACGTTTCACATTATCACGAGATTAGGAGTCGTGTTTAGCCTGTCAACGCTTATTTCTAAACTGTCTCGCGCGAAAATAATGGGAAGTTTCAAATTGCAGGTTTCTCTTTGACTGGCTGATTTAATTGCGATCAGCTAAGGTGACAAAAGTGGGCGGCATTCGAAAAATCATGGTTCTCTGGCAGGCTGTATTCCTCGCGGCTTCGCCGCTCGTGACGGCTCCGCCGTCAAATCTCACTCGACTATATCACAACGGCTCCGCCGCCAAATCTCACTCGACCACTACACAATACCGCCAGCTACGCAGGCTACTTGTCCTTCTGCATTGTTTGTCATGCAGCAATGTATTTTTTTTGTGTGATCGTATTGTGCAAAGGGTCCATGAAACCTAAACACATTACATAGAAAAGTATCAACCAATTGGTTTTTGTTTCCAGTTTTGGTATGAGTTGCGTTGATGATGATGGCGCAGTGTCTGCGGGCAGGCTATCGAAGCGCTGCTGATCTCTTTTCGAAGATTCACGTTCTGGAGAAGTCATGACAGTATCTGTACCTTCCGCATTCCAAGTTCGCTCATTTCAGCGGCTTGTTAAATTACAAACCGAACTAGCAAGACGAGCGGCTTATTAATTCCCTTACCGGAGATCAACGGCTTTTTGCAAAATCGACAATGAGGTTCGTGCTCCATTTCACTCTGTTTTCAGACGGAGCAAAACACGGCTCATTTCCTGTTAATTTTCCCAGGAGTTCCTCACGCGCGAAATTGATTGACCGATAGCGATCTTACTGACAGATGATCGGCAGGATAATTACAAGAGGGCGGAATAGCGGCCTCAAATGTTTGTCTACAGGCTCTTTCCCCCCCTTTCCCTTTCCTTTCCTCGCTATTTTTCCCCAAACAGAGAGCCTGTTCACAGGCTAGGGCAGTAACACCAGTAACTTGGAACATCAAGATTACTTAACTGAAAATAATAGGCGCCGCTAAGATCCCGGTGGAAGTGGTCCAGTTTTCAGTCGGCAAACTCTTTGCTGTTTTGTTGATAAGGAGTACATCTGTGAAAGTAGCCTGTTCAACAGCT